CAACCAGGTTAACGTTTGCTTTATTTTTACCTCTTTTTTTTTGGCGGTAACCATAATGGTGGTCGAGTAGATCATGTTGTGCGGGGTGGAGAACCCTCACTCCGCGCAAGGGGGATGATCGCACCACGTTGTGTTAAAATGGTCAAGCACCCTCGAGGCAGTTACACAGTGCTTACAACTGTCTCTGGAAGTGAAAGCACCAGAAAATAAATTAAGTCATACGCAGCTGTCATCCGTACGCAAGGAAGTAAGCACAAGATGCCGAACACCCTTAGCAGGATGCAGCGCACCCTTCATGCGACTCGCCGAATACCTCACGGCGCTTCGCGCTTGGTGATGTGAGAGCCTGGTCCGGTGAGAACCCGGCGTGCTCCGTCCCGGCTTTGTAGGGACGCGAGGTCAATGGCCTAACGACTACGGCATGCACGACTATGAGTACCCCCCCCCACTACGTTGTGTCTCTCGTGGAGGCTGGTGTGTACATTAATATTCACGGAAGCAGCACGAGAGATGCCCTAGCTCGGACAATCGGTCAACCGTGGAGCCCGTACGCTCAGAGGAGACATCAATGAGCCACCAACGGAACGAAGGATCATATACATCCAAAGTATTCGGGATCCCCCCCCCCCCTTTCATCTAGCGGAGCTCCTGCTTCATTTCTCACCTCCCCCGAGGTTAAGGTTCCCAAAGTTGCTCAACCCAGCCAATCCCAGCCCAAAGTCCGTCGCACTCCCGCCGGCCCCGGGGGCCCCGGGCATCATGCCGGGGGGGAGCACCCCTGCTCTTTGCAGCTGCTCCATCGACTGCTGCATCTGGGCCAGAGCCTGGACGTTCTGCGGGTCGGCCATCCGGCGCATGATCTGCGGCAGCTGACCGCGCAGGGCGGGGTTCGCCTATTACATGGGGGGTGGGGATGGTGGGGGGGGTGGGGATGCTCAGGGGGGTGTACTCAGGAGGGGGCAGGGGGATAAGGGAAGCGAAAAGGGGATAGGATACCCGGCGAGGGTTCTCACTCCACGCCAGCGACGATACAATACCGAACCACACGACGGACGGATTCCACGAAACCGGTTCCCACCGCGAACGCCACCCCGTGACACAACTCTCAGAGAGCCAACGGCAGTGCTGTAAGGCGACATACCGCCCGAAAAGAAAAAAAAAGAAGTACCTGCAGCGCCTGCTGGAGCTGGGGGTTCTGCGCTATCATCGTCTCCATGATGGCAGGGTCGTCAGCCATCTGGGACACCATCTGTTGGTAGGTGATGGTGTTGGCAGCGGCATTTCGCAAAATGGCCACGACGACAGGGACGTTCGGGAGAGGGGGCACGGGCACAGGGGGGCAAGACGGGCGGGTGGAGGTGGAAGAGAGTGAGCCTAGCCGTGTCTTGCCACTTTTCCCGTCGACGGTGAGAGCACACACCACTGACACGCTAGACAGGTAGGTAGGTGTGTTGTGTGTAGGAGCGCTGTGGCGAACTGAACTGCCTTTTGCCTAGGCATCACATTGGATGGATGGGAGACTGAACTGCTATCGCATCACTCCTGGTGTGTGTGGCGCGCACTGAACGGGGCCATACCCGTGGGACGAGACCACCACGCGGCAGTGCATCGTATCAGAAGGACCATCACCGCTGGCGATCATACGCCTCGTCGCAAAACATCAGTACGACCAAATTTTCTTGCAAAAGAGCCGCGTCATCAGACACACTCTCGCGGTCGTTGATACGTGCAACACCAGACACAGAAACAAGCAGACCCCCAGCCCCGCCCCCCATCGCAAATCAAAAACACCAACACCTCACGGCGCTCTCAGAAACAACAAAAACCAAGCAAGTCCTACAATTTCCACGACTCCCCCGCGAAGCCATGGGGAGGGGGGGTCGGCTCATCTCCTCGTGCCTACAACCGTGGAGCCCGCTTGAAACTCACCTGCTGCACCATGGGGTTGTTCATCATCTGCTGCATCATGGCCGGATCCATCTGCCCGCCACCCGGCATTCCGGGCATACCACTTCCTGCTGCTCCCATTCCCTGCCGGAGGGCCGCCCATGGGTTGGCACCTGGAGCCGGGACAGGGACATTGGCGCCGCCGGTTGGCGCCGCGGCTGGTGTGCTGAGGGGTCGGGGAGGGACAGGGAGACGATAGAGACGAGAGAGAGGGAGGGATAGAGGAGAGAGTTAGACTTTACAGGGCTAAGACAGCCTGAACAATACAAAGGACATGCATGTGGTGAGAGTGTCGACACAAGCGGGCAAAAAGAAAACACTTGATACGAGTCCGAAATCACACGCACCCAGCTGCAGCCCACGGGTTTGGGAGCGCGGAGGTGTTGGGGCCTGCCGAGGGGTTCGCAGCGGGCGTCCCAGCGTTGTTGTTGTTCGCCCCCGTCGTCCCCGCGTTATCGTTGCCCACCATGCCCTCGCTCGCCTGCATCATGGGTTCTTGGACCTCCTGTATCCATTTACATACGGGGATGCCTTGTGGTTTTTGTTGTTGTTGGTGATGTTCATCAAGTGTTGATGGTGGTGCCAACGCTACGTACGCTACATGTCTCGCTGTTGGTGTTGTGATTGTTGTCCTTGTCCCTGTTGCCATAACGGTGGTGGCGTCTAACTTTATGCTGAATACTTGCGTCGCTGTCTTTGTAGCTGTTGGCCATCTCAGTTGGTGCCTGACGACCTCCATGTTGGTTGGGCAGAAAACAACAGTGCAGCCGAGAAGAGCCTCGGGTGGCAAACAGTACATAACTCCACTGCACCTAACGACAAGGCACTAGACGCCTTCCAAGTCGCACAACACGAGCGAATCGCAACACACACGCCTTACGTCCTGCTGTAACGAGTTAAGACTCAACACGAACAAATCCGCTCCCGTCGCCAAGAATTTTTTTCGCACATCCCTGCCATCTCTAGGTGCCGAACAAAACAAGACAAAAATGCATCTTGCCGTGTACAGCCTGCGAAGGGCGTTGAAACCGCCCGGCTGGTTCTCGATCTGGCTCATCATCAGGTCCTGGCTTCGTCGGGCCTGGTTCATCGCCTGTCACGGAGAAAAAAGTTGTTCGTTTGTTGCTGTTGTCCCGAGCGAGATTCAACAGGTGCCAAAACGTTGCTTACGTGTCCTTCGTTTCAGATTATCTTTAAACGTGTCAACTATTTACTAGGTGCCTACTTTTGACTGCACGTCTTCGTTTCCGATCTTCTTTCGACGTGTTCCTTAACGAACCAAACACCACACCCTTCGAAGGGCTACTACGTCCCACGTTTGAGTGCATGTCTTCGTTTCTTACCTTTACCGCCGTGTCCTCTAAACCACACACAACAGCGAACAACACCGTAAATGAAGCACGTACACAGCAGCGTATCGTCGTGTCTGACTCACCCCTACACAATGCCAACAAAACCATGAATTGAAGCACATACCTCGGGGTTGCGAGCCATGTCGAGGTATTGCCGCATGGTGGCAGGGTCGTTGAGCACCTGCGCCAGCTGAGGGTTGTTTTGCATCACCTTCGAAGGCGAACGCCGAACAAAAGACACACCCGCAGCGGAGACGGGACGGGACTCGTTCGGTTAGTTCCTACAGAGAGACCACCACCACACGCGTCTCTAGTAAAATGGGTACCCTTAGCTCCCGCTCCCGCTGACATTCTCGAAACCAAAATGCTTCAAAACCTTCCGTACCGAGCAACCAGGGCCGCAAGCAAACATGCCACTGAGAAGAACACACAAAAAGAGTAGCCGGATTGCCGGATCAACGAGCTCAACAGAAAAAACTCTTTGCGCGGGCACCTCTCATCTTCGACCAGACTTTCCTGAAGGCACGTGTGCACGTAGACTATAAGTGTCATCTTCGTTCTTACATATCGCCCCCCTCACCCGCCCCCACCCAATCCCGGCTTTGTAGAGATGCGAGGTCTATGGCATTCCCCCCACTGGACGCCCTCGCGGGGAAACCCAGCGGTCAAACTCCGCTGGGGGAGGGGGG